CCATCTGTTGGAGGTGGGGCAGTTATCTTCTGTTCATTGGGCCACCTGTTAAAACCAGGTGGAGGAGTTTTCTTTATTTCTTCCACGACTCATCCTCCCTCCAGGAAACCTCTTCTGTTCATGGCCAGTGAGTGTCCCTGCATGGCTGACAAAATTCCATCATCCCATTGGAAGGTGGTCGGCCCAGGGGGAGGAGCCAAGCATTCCTACCTGGATATAATCCGAGGTTTGGAACACCATGGGTAGCATTACCTACTGAATTCCTAGAGGACAAGAGCTCCATAATTACCACTGGACCTTCAGAGGAAGACTAGACACAAAACACCACAAGAACTTAAATTTCTCTGTTTCTTAAAAAAACCCTCAAGAATGTACCAACCAGTGACAACATAGGGGAATTCATGAACTACTATTCTACCAGAACCAATCAAACAAACAATCTTTTTATCTAGGAAAAAACTCACATCTTACACACTCAGCAAAACTATTTCTTACTCTGCAAACAGGCTGCTTCTATCCAAAAATCAAGTTCTTAATCTACAGCTGGGATACCATAACATAGTGATTGAAAACAAACCCGAGGAACCCTGCTGAAGCAATGGCGCTTTGCATAGGAAGCATGCTCACGTGTCACAAGATTATTTAGAGCACTTCTTGTCTTTAGAGCATGGGAAGTAATAAGCAAACATACTCTAGTCATTTTTTTGCTGGGATTATTTTGGTGAACAACGAGGTTTATAAATTCACAGTGAGGGAGTGAACCAGTGCAGACACAACAGATTACAAAGTATCTAGAGGCTCTCTAACTCTTCTTCTTCAGACTTTATTTTTCATATGTTAAATAGTGACTTTAAAAAGTAACTACAGGTTTAGCAATGAATCCTTATGGATGAACCTGAATACACACAGTATTACCTTATACTTTATTGCAAATGCAACAAATATGGCATTACACATTTAAACTGGAAAAAGAAACACATTGCCTTATGTGAGAGATTATCTTTCTATTGCAAAGAGCCAAAACCTGAGCTTCTTCATTCAAGCAAACTGTCACACAAGACTGGACTTCAAAGCTGACAGCTGTGCACAGCAAGTGATCTTAGTACACCCATTATAATTTGTGAGACTACACTCAGATGGCTGTCACCGTTACAGAAAAATTAAACGTTTAAGAAATTAATTTAACATTAAAATAAAATACCTCCTCTAGAGAAGTTTGTTTTGTGTAAGACAAAACTAAGAAAGGAATTCTGAGGCTTAAGCTGTAAACTGTTGCAAAAAGATACTTTTTTCTGTATAGACTTCAGTATAAAAAGGGCCCACCTACTACATGCACAAGCTCCCAAGTGGGAGTTACAAACAATAATTGTAGAAGTAATTAAAGGGAAAAAAAGGGCAAACAGACAGATTGGATTCCCAGTAGATGAAGGCTGTCTAACAACTTACAATGAACACGTTTGAAGTCAACTTCAAGTAATATGCTAACAAGAATTAAGTGCATCTGTTTCATGCTCCCTGAGAATAATGCCATCAAAACTGAATTCAAATGTTTCAAACCTACAGAGGGCCTGAGCATGTCTTTGACTAATTCAAATTAACCATGTTACTGAGGTTACAAGCTTACCCCTTTGGACATGAACAGATCCTTGCTAAGGTCACTTCATCAAGCAAAATAATGAATGTCTGTGTTCAAAAAGTATGAACAATACATTTTTTAAATTAACATTTTACTGGATTGAGGGAGATTTATGGAGTTATTTGAATTTTGGAAGACCCACAATAGCAGTCCTCAGTCATTATACTATGGAAACATAACAATATGCAATAAAACTTAAGAAAGCAGGTCAACACTTGAACCTTGGCTGAATTATTAATAAGCCTAAAATAGCATTTGACACCAAATTACTCTATTTTTTAGTAAGGAGTACGAATTAGCTTTTATTTTATTTAAAATAAGATAAACAGAGAAAAGGTAGATTAATTCTGATTGATATCATTGAGGCTGTTGCATCTTCCAAGTTCCTTATGTAAATTATAGATCTCGTTTTCCTAGGTCAAATGGAAAATGGAGCAGAGAATTGGAACTACTGTCTAAACAGAAAGTTCAAGGTACTGCAACAAGTTCCAAGGCTCTTTTCCAGACTTAATTTTTCTATAATATAATATAAAATATATTTTAATAATATAATAAAAATATAATTTTATAATATAATGCATAATATAAAAATAAAGGTATATTTTATAATATAAAATGGGGAATTAAAGATCATGGTAGAGAAAATAAAGATTAGGTTTCTTAGACTGCACTATGCAGAAACCAGATTAGCATAGGGAGGGAATGTAATGGAGGGGAATCCTGATCCCCCAGTACCCTGCTCTAGCAGGCAAGAGGTGAGCTCAGCCCAGATGAGCAGTTTTCAGTCCCTGTGCCACCAGCTCTGCTTTCCTGTGCAATCCCTTCCCTGTTGGGAGGTGCCTCTGGATATCACAACAATATAAAGAAGAATTTAGGTGAGAAACTGACAGCTTTAAAGACCATTATTTCCTTTGCAAAGCATAGCAATCCATGCTAAAGTTTTTCCTGTGGGATCTATTCCTGTCTGAACACAGATTTACTCACTGTGTTCCAACTGCCCACATGACTATAGGCAATTTTATTTTTTTAACATATTGGCACAAGCAAACTCTGAAACGTACTAAATGAAAATAATCTTCTTATGTCACAAAATAAAACCCCCTTATTTTACCAGACACTGATCTGATTATCGTCTGAATAAAGCTAATCAGTGTAATTACACAGTTTAAAAGTGCACACTGTGGATCTACTGATCATAACAGACAATACTTCTCTAGGTGTCAACTGAGTTTCAGATTTGATAAATTGAAGTTTTCCAAAAAACCCACTGGTTTCAAATTATTCTTTCAAATTTGATTCTATAAATAGAATTGGAAGAAGTTTCCTACCATTTGCTGTCCATTGAGGACATTCCATTAAAAGCTAACAATTTTAAAGATGAAGCAAAGTCATTCCATGTATTGTGGTGGTCCATCAACAAAGGGCTGGATATGGAAATCCACAGTCCCACTCTATTGCCCTGACCAAGCTGACCAGCAGTTTACTTGACTATTAAACATGGGCTATTATCACTTAATATGACATTGCTATTTAATATCTTAGCATTAATATGTGAGATTGCCAAAGGATTCTAATCACAGCAATATCATTCATATTTTAAAAAATTAAAGGTAACTATGAGGTACCCAGCAGCTTTTTCTAATTAAACAAAACCACATCAGAATTTACTAGTGTCACTCCTATAGACAAGGATCAGTGCCATAGCCTTCTTCCTCTTATGCCCTGTGACAGACAAAATTTGATCTAAGGCTTTGCAGGAATTCATTGTCTGTGATCTGGGAATTCCAGCTTTACCTTTACCCAGTTAATCCAGCTCTGAGCTGAAGTATCAGTGATGTTCTCTTGCATACAAGTTCAGCAGCTCTGGGTTGAAAACCACTTTGACATTCCTGGCTTGATATCCTGCCCTCAACAAATGCATTTGATGCTCATGTATTGCCTCCTGGCTGCCTGCTGCCACAGCCATCTGTCTGCATGGCACACTGCCTGTGGGCTAGGGGATGTGCCAGCTTTACTAGGGCACAGATGCCAAGAATAGGTGGTCTTAAATGCACAGCCAGCACATTAATTCACTGCCACCTTGTCTTACTGCCCTCTGACCCCCATCTCAAGGAAGGCAAGAGCAGCCATACAAGAAGAGACAAGGAGTCCATCCAGAGTTCTCTCTGATTCCAGACACAGGTCATTAACATGTGCCTTGAAGTGAAACGAGCACCAAGAACTGAACAATTATGAAATAACCTGCTCATCAAAAGCCTGGAAACATTTCAGCTGTAAACATGCACAAGGGCTAATCTGTAGAAAGTGCTATAAACCCTGGAGTGAACCCTGTCATCTAGAACTGAAAATGCCTCAATGATGTTAAACATGTAAAGCAAATTAAAGCCACTCCAGCCTTAACACAGTGCCTGTATTTAATACACAGTTGAAATTAATATGAAACTACCTTTTTCGGCATTTTCTTATCTCCACAATGGAGACCAGCTTTAAATGTAACTATTTTATTGCCTGAATATGATTAAGGATGATGTACAACTGGTTCTTTTGTACCTCAATTCCTGTAAAAGTTAAAATCCTGAAGAATGAATGCTGGTACTTAACTTTCATGCCTGTCCCTGTCTACCAGACTGTTTGCCATGGATAGGCAACCTATTTACTGGGGAGGTCCCACAGTCTATGGTGAAGACAGGACACACTCCCACAACTCCCCCAGCCCATACAAGTAAGAAGGTTGGTGAACTTCCATGGGATCAGGAAGGACTGCTCACCACTTTCCACTCATGTTTAAGGAGCTGGTGTGGGAAAGAGCAGTGAGGAAGAGGCTGCAGAGTACAGGGATTTAAGGACTTGCCCTGGTGCCAGCTTTCATGCCACTGCTGAAGTAGCAAGTTACCAGGTAAAGCGTGTTACCCAGTGTGTGCCCATCAGGCTTCCAAGCCAGCTGACAGCCAGGCTCTGCACTGCTGGCACAGGCAGAGCAGGGATTAAAAATTAGCCTCAAGGCTAATGGCAACAACACAGAACAGATCAAATCACACGGCATTAAAAAGCAAAGTTGATGGAGTTCCAATACACACACGGGGTTCCTCTGAGGAGGTGAGATCCAGCCAGCACATATAAATACAACTGACCTTTTTGGCAGAGAAAAGATTTTTGTAAATACATTTGATTTCCCCAGTTATATGGCACACAAAGGTGCCAATTTTGAAACACATTTGAGCACTGAGTACAACACAATTGCTTTCCAGTTCTGAACTAGGCATTCTATCATATTTGGACAAAGGCCTTTTGCAAAAATACTAAAACACCACAAAACCCCCAAACATCTCATTCATATTCTGCTCAGACAGCAGAAATTACTTACCCTCTCTCCACTTTTCCTTATGACTTCATCTTTCTCTCTCTGCATATCCCTCCTCTGCTCTTCCCACCTCACACTCCTGTACAGCTTTCAGATAACCAAAGACCAGTCATGAAATACAGTCACCTATATTTGTCAAGTCAGCTACAGAAATAGCTGACTGTGCACCAGAAAAACAGACCTGAGCCCAGACTTTAAAATACCAGTGAGCATAAGTTCCCTGAACTGCATGAAACTCCAAGTAGATTTACCACAGGAACAGAACAATGCTGAATGCCACCCTGTTCTTCTGGCAAGAGGGGACAACACTTCAAAAGAGAGCATTTCATGTCAAATCACAAGCAATGTGGCATTTGCATTATTAGGTGTATAAGCAGACTACATGCACAAGACAAATATCTTTTTTGTGCCCCACAGCAGTTGCTATTATTTATGAATGTGTCTCAGCGCTTTGCTGCTTAGAACTCAGCATCACTAACTGGCACTGCTCAAATGTTTCAACAGAAAGAAACCTTATATGATAATTTATTTGTGACAGCTACAAGAACTGTGAAAAATGTAGTTGTAGTCCTAGTCACAAAAAAGCATTTCAAGTCTTGCCACAATAGCTACAAGAACTTTGAAAAATGTACTTGTAGTTGTAGTCCTAGTCACAAAAAAAGCATTTCAAGTCTTGCCACAATAGTTTACAGTTTTGGGCATGAGGCCAGGTGTACTAACAAACACCAGGCATGTTTCCCATGCTGGAGCTCCCACAGCAGCCCCAAGGCTCTGCCTTTCATGCATTCAGGTGCACTCCTCTGCAGAATTCTTTGCTACAGGCAGAAAAGGGATGTGCATGTGCCCTTGCTGAGCAACTTAGCTGTTCTTTAACAGAGTAGGAGATGGCACTGGCACAGCAGTAGCTCTCTTCACCTGATTTTGACCAATGCATTAGCAGCCAGCAGAGGAAAGACTGGAATTTTCCCAGGCAGTTCAACAGCTAACCTGGGCTGCGAGCAGGTGAGGTTCACTTGATGTGCAGCCAGTAATAAAATGGACTCTTGAGCCTGAGGATAATGAAAGCAAAACATGGCTTTTGCCCCTCAGCCTTCCCCTCAACTCTGCTCCAGGTCCTCTGATGGGACAAACAGAGCTTAACCTCACCCCACCTCTGACAAGAAGTCAGTCATGGGAGCTTCACTGGCTTTTTATAAAGAGGTGGCAGAACTCCAATGCATTCTTCCCATGCTGCCTGCTCAGAAAGTTGTCAGCACACTCTCTGGATCAGAACATTTGTTTTATTCAGTGTATGTGTTGACCTATTTATGTAGCTTTTCCACCAATATCTGTATTTATTTCCCATTGGAAAACTTGATAAACATTAAGATAAATTCCTTCCATTCTTGCTATTTCTATACTATAATTACATTACAGTTTTTATAAGCTAAAAAGCTGTGAAAAGCAACAATCCAGTCTATTTGAATGGGAGCAGATTATACTTGCTCGGAATTCTGTAGAATTTGCTTGTTTGCATGATTTCAAACCATTGTGGGGAAAGAGGGTTACTATCACCATCATGTTTGGTTGGTTTTTTAAGGGCTTGTTTTTCCACCACGTAGAAGATAGCATCTGTACTCATCCTGCCTTGGTACCATGAACCTCCAACATAGATAATTATAGTGGAGACAAATGAGATAAGTCTTGTTGGAAGATCACTGAGATTAGCTCAGCTGGTCAGCACAGTGTTAGTAATGCCAAGGCTGTGGGTCTGATCCCTGTATGGGCCATTCACTTAAGAGCTGGACTCGATGACCCTTGCAGGTTCCCTCCAACTCAGAGCATTCTGTAATGTCAGCTGACACATTTCCCTGAAAGCACAACTCTCCCTGCTCAGTCAAGTTTCCCAAGTCCAAGAGACAACATCCCACTGTTTTCCTCTGAGAGCTTCTAAGTTTTCTGAAAAATTCCTCTCCCTGGCCCTCACCAAACCAAAGCAAAAAAGCCCCCAGACATTCACACCTTTCCTCTTTTATACCCACATGAGAAGGAAAAATCTCTACTCTAGGAGTTAATGGCACAGTCCCAGGGTATGCAGGGACTGAGCTATGTATGCTTCTGAGTGATAATCCCACTTTCCTGCTTGCTGAACAATTCACAGTATTCCTTCCACAGGAGGGAGATGCCTTTCCCCATCACCCAGAGCACACTGATTTTTAGCTGACCATCTTACTTTTAAATAAAAGCTTCAGAAACCCTGCCAAACATCGTCCCTTTGTGCAGCCATACCCAGACACAGAGCTTGGCAAGCTTCCCTCCCAAAAAGAAATTGTGTGCACGCACATAGGAACAGACAAACATCTCAATTCACAGTCTCAATTCACAGTAGCATAAACACTTGAAAAAGCAACTAGTCACATTACCCAAACTAGAAATTTAAATGGACATGAATAAAAAAAGCCCACCAAGAACAAATGCCAGAATTCTCTGTCATTTCTAGACACATGTTTTCTCATATGAAAATCAGACTCCCTCTGTCAAGTGATGTTCTTCAGAAGGGTTAATACTGTGCACACAAAATGTCCCAAGCAACTTTAACAAGCAGAGTTGCTGGAACAAATTCACATTGGTGCTGCAAATTAGGCAGAGGTAAGTTACACAGAGTTGCATGTCACAGCCTGGTAAGATAGCAGGCAACTTTATAGAGTGCAGAAGTTACCACTACATTATTCCAAATCAGACATTAATCCAGGGCAACCATTGACAACAGAAGGATGAAGTGGAAAAAAGTCACTCAAAAGAATGTATAAAGCCTCCCTGTTCAAAAGGTTTGACAAAGCAATTACTTAAACATGAACTAAACCCACCATGTAGTAAGAAGGCCAGCAGCCACCTGTAATTCCACAAGCAATAGTTAAAAGCTGTGCAAAAGAAGATGCTGTGTGCAAGGAGCTTTTATTGGATCTAGACAGGGCTCCAAATGTGACACCCAACTAACAATGGAATAACAGGTGCCTAGTAGGACCAGAAATGTGTGTTTCCTCTGAAAAAAAAAATAGAGAAAAACCTGCAAGACTGTTGCTGCTCAGAGCAGTTTGCATCAGTGCTGCAAACAGGACTGTCAAAAGGCAGCGTGACATAAGGCATTTGCTGCAGATCTGTGTTTTCAGGGACCAGAAAGGACCCCAGAGCCTTGCACTGTGGTGGCACACTGTAACACAAAGCAGCAGCTCCATGTTACCCCTGGAACACCTGTGAGCCCATGACTGCAGCAAACCCATGCTAACAACAGAATCTTTACACTCAAGGATGTGACTTCTGTACTCTATGCTTTTAAACACCTTTGTTCTTTCTTGTACTCATTAGAAATTGGAGACAATGATTTGCACCTTCCTGGATGTAACTGACAATATAAAAATACAATAGAAATAAAATCTAAAGTTTCCACCTGGTATTAATGGAAGCAATCCAAGTGCCATTACTTAGCACAGTAACCTGCTACAGCTCCTGCCTTTAATTCTGTTCATGTCTTACTATGACAATTTGGATTTTGCAGCTTTTTCTCCAAGAAAAATCCTAATATGAAGAGCAGAGAGCTAGCCAAAATTAAAATTCATGTATAATACACAGAAAATGTTCCTTCAAAGTATTATCTCCAAGGACTATTTTTACTAACACACCTCATTCTTTACTGTAGAGAATCTGAAAATTTCAACTAAATACATCCAATCTCACTGGATACATTTAGACTTAAGAATATCATTTCAGTAATCATAAAACCATTAATATGAGAAAAACTGATATTACTACAGTAATACTGTGCTGACATAAGTAATTGCACTTGTTAGCATAAAGCCCCTATAAGAAGGTCACATTACTATACAAATTGCCTTTTAAAAAATAAAAATTAAGCTTGTATTCCTCCTTATTATAAGAACAGCAGAGGTCATTAGTCCATTTAAAGCAGCTTAAAAATCAAATAAAATTTCCCAGAGTTTTAAACAGCTTGACCCAGCAGTTCAGCAAGAAAGTAAAAATTTAGCAACTATAATCACAAGTAACTTCATTAAAACAAATTCATGTGGCTGGAAAAACCTAGTATAGAAATAAAATATCTAGAAAAAGCCATAATGTAGAGGTGATAAAATAAATTTCAGGTGGTAGTTTTCATCTTTAAACAAACCTAATCTAAAACAGCATGACATTTAAGATAGTAAAAGGCTTGAATTCTCATATTCTTTCAGTTGAAACAAATTACAGAAATTGGCACAAATTTTACCAGCCTTTGGTCTGAAATTATACTACTATAAAGTAAATAATCTTCATTCTGCCACTGCTCTAGTTTCTTGGTTTCATAAATATTCTTCCTAACTTTACCTCAATTTAAAATACATTCCTCTAACAGGCTTTGTTCCCAAAATGATGGCCAAAAACTCATTAAGAATTTGGAACCAGTGTGAAGGATTAATGATGAAAATGCATTTGTTTATTCTGTGAGACAGGACACCCATTTATGGCACACATTGACTCCTAAATTCACTGGAAATTTTCTAATTTATATGACTGAAGTAGAAACATGTAGCCAAACAGAAATTACCAGCTGAGTGCCTTAAATAAACAAAATTCCTTACTGTTTCTGGTATGGCCTCTCCTCAGTTGCCTATCCATTTAGTTTCTTGTTTCAATCAGTCAAAAGCTGTTTTTTTGAGTTGGTTATTTTTCAACACCATGTAACCTTAATGTATGCTGCCAATGAACAACAGAAGCCTCTTCCAATGAGTGTCTCATTTATCTTTAGAACTCGGGGAACCTTGAAGCAGTCTGAAGAGAATAAATCATTAGCATTTCCTACTCTAAAGCATCTAAACAAAGACATTCTCAGGTCAGAAAACAGGAGATACCCATAGGGATACTGTAGATATTCAGGATGTTAGCAGGACTGCCCCAAAATTTAGGAGCTCTGTGGCTTCCCAGGGGTTGTTCTGGGGAATCAAAGTCTGTCTCATCCCAGGAAATGCTCAGTGAATTGGTTCCACGTAGCCATATCTCTTCTGCATACACAGCTCCATTCTTTATCTTCCTCGCTTCTGCAGGTTGGATTCTCCTCCTTCAAGGATGCAACATTCCTCCAGAAATTCCTCCATTCTTCTCCAGGAAGAACATGGTTTAACTCTTTTGAGGCAGAGTGAGTATTTCATGCCCACATACCCAAACAGATTCCTTATTTCTGTACACATGAAGAAAAGTCAAACTACCAGAAGATATTCAGCATTTTTGACAAAAAGTCTCATGTTCCATTCAGCCTAACCCATACTGGGGTGCTGGCCAGCACATAAATGGCTTTAAAGTATTTCAGTTATAAACCAAAGACTACAGCAAAGATTTCAGGGCATCTGCTGAGACTGCAGAATTTGCAAAGAGGCAGATAAGTAAAACAATAAAGGCTTTTAATCCAGCTGAATAACATCAGACTCCACAATCCCCACAGACTCTTCATATGTAGCATTTCTCATAGAAAAATAAAAATCTAAACATGGATCAAGAGAGCAAAGTCATTCTTCAAGGACTTAAAATCAGACCTTAGCTGTAAGTGATTAGGGAACAAAATGTATTCTACACCTTCTGTAACAAGGATAGCCACACATGGTTGCGAGCAGGCCCCAAGTGTGCTCTGGCCATGCTCCAAGCTAGCTGGAAAGCATGGAATTATTAACCTGGCTCTGAGGAGCATCTGACAGCCCTTGTCTTGTGAGCACAGACTGCCAGCTCAGTTTCAATGTGAGCATGGCTCATGCCAGCTGATGGGATGCTGCCAGCATTGAGGAATACTGGACAAATGCATTCTAACAGGGGGTACTCCTGGATGGCAAATTTCTCCTCAGCCATTCCAGTACAAGTAAACCTAAAACATAGAGCTGGTGGACAAGGGAGCATGAACTGGCCACAGGTTCCAACTCAATGGCCACACTTGTTCTCCTTGAAATCTGAACCCCTCTACCTCAACTTATGAAGCAAAATAAAATGGCAAGTTTCAGGAAAGCACAACTCCAGACTATTGGCTGCAGAGCCAGGAAAGGCCATTCCACCTTCAAAGAAGGAGTTTTGAATACTTTCAGTCTTCAGAGTGGATAAAAATGAATGCTATTCCATTTTAAAAGGGTTTTTGGTTCTATTAACAAATCTACTTGGCACCTTTTTTTCACATGGAGTTTTATTTTCAGAAACAGGTACCTGAAAGACACACAAAGATAGTCTTTTGTATCTACACTGCCACTAAGGTAAGTGGTTTCCTCAGGGAAGGAATACCAGCGTGCATGTCAGTGCAAGGGAAGGCCAGCGGGTCTCCAAAGTGTGGGCACATTGCAGTGCAGTACCAATTCCATAGTGTATTGTACTGCAGTTTAAAAGCAGGCTTCTGCATTTTGGTTACAATCCTGGGTATTCAACAGATTTTAAAAACAGTACAGGATGGTACAACCTAAGAGGTTGAAGTAGCCAGGGGTAGTGTAGGGCTTGCATGCAACAGCTGATGATGAGGGAACCACGACCATCTCTACCACCTCTACAGACAGCAGCAAGAGGGGGACAAAGGAAGGAAAAGAAAAAGAAACCCTAAAAATAACCAGTAGGGTTTGAAAACCTACTCCATTCATTTTTACTCAAACAACTGAAAACATGAGCTTGCTTTATTTCTTTAACAATCAGTATGAAAGCAGCAATCAAAACTTCTTTCACCTAACTACATGAGCTGCTATCCATGTTCAGTTATTTGTTTGCTCATTGGAATAAAAGTCCTGTTTCTGAACCCTATTTCTAACAGATGCACTCACTAAGTGATGGTTCCCATGATCTTGGTATCAGGATCAAAACAGAGATAGTCTGAGTACACACACACAAATACAGGCAGACCATCAATAAACCATACTTACCATTAGCACATGGTGCAGCATGGAAATAATAAATGACACATCAAAGCACTTCCCAGCTGTAAAAGATTCTCCTTTTTAATTCATCAGCTCATTCAACTGCCACTTCTTTACAGTTTATATTGAATACAAAGTAATCAGAACTCTTTTACTGGACTAAATATAAGATAATTTGTAGCAATTCAATCCAGAAGGCTTTATTAAAGGCCTTAATATCACCTTTTCTTTTATTAGAAAACACTTTTATGATAAAAGCAAAGTTTTTTGACTTTCAGTAATTCAACATTTGGTCCTAATGCACTTAAATGGAAAAAATACTTAGAGGTTTTGAAAAGCCTAAAATAGGGAAACATCTGCTAAAATTTAGGTGCAGCTGTTTAGTGAAGAGGTCCAACTCTAGAAAAGCCAGTATTGAAAGCTCCCTCTGCAACCAATAAAAAGTCTATTTAAAAAGTCATGGAACAGGGTGAAGTATTTGTTCAGGTTCAAAGTGATGTTTTTTGTTTTGTTTTTAAAACACTGACATCTTTTGGTCATCAAAACTTGGACAAATTTCTTAATTTAGTGTCAAACAGGTGTTTCAGTCAAAGCCCCAACCAGGCCAAATTCCAACCAGGCCATAGCATGTGCTTTTTCAAAGCAGACAGAATTGTTTCAGTTTTAAGAATAAAGATCCCCAAAATAGTCTAATTTTTGGTACAAGAGGCCTGGTTTTTTTCCTGCTTAGCAACTAGTGTCACTTCAATGGTGAACAAAGTCACTTTATGTTAAGCCTTATTACCAGCTTTAGGTTCTTTTTAAACACTCTACACAAATTTGTATGAAAAGCATCTTACACTCTATTACTACATTGTTTTCCATTTGTGGGAGAATCTTAATGGCATATACATAAAAGCCTAATTCATATGACATTAGTATAATTTTGGCCCAGGGAAGTATGAATGTAGACTATTACAATCCTTAGCCTCAGCAAGGAGGGTAGTATCCTTCAATGCTGTAGATTTAATTATTTATTCAAAAATTAAATGAAAGGGACTGATAAATTTCATTTTTTCAGCAATAACAATAATCACTAGACCTGCACCAGGCAGGTAAGATTCCTGCTGAACAGGACATAGACTGTTAAAATGAGAAAATTCCATTTGTTACTGTACACAAGAGCAATCTGAGCCTAAAAAAAAAAAGAAGAAAAAGTGAAAATGTGAGTCTCTACACATAAGGCTTATGTCTGCCTGCCTAATGCTATCTAGTGCCTGTGACTGCAGTGCATACAATACACTACCTTATATAAACTGAAGAAAAGAATTAAAGGGTTGAGTATTAAGAGACATACTGTTCTGCTAATTACCCAAAACAATGACTGGAGCAAAATTAGACCACTGCATTTCAGACACATAACATCAATATTTCTTGTACTTTTTGCATAGCTCCAAATACTTCATCACATCATAACACAGTAGTATTGTTTTTCAAGAACATGGTAAGACTTCTATTTCATTTCTGTTTCTGCTAGAGAGGGAACAGGAAGGATTCAAAATGTAATGCATAACCATAATGTTAGTAAACAGAACCACAAACTACCAAAAAGATTCAGGTGTGTTTTGATTCATAATTCTTGGGTTTGATCTATATCCTGGCTCATTGCATCACACATCACTGTGGGCTTCCCACAGCTCTATACTCACCCCAGGTGTCCCTCATTGTCCTGTTCTGTCCTGGAGCACAAGCTTAAGGGACTTTTCATCACTTCTAGTACACTCCCATGTTCATGGTTCTCCTCCAGGGAAATCTTTAGCAGAGAGCTAAAGTTGATAAAATATGTATTACTTTGCTGATCTTTCAGATTAACATCAATGGACTGAGGCAACAATATTATTTTTATATTTTAATTAGTTGGGTCAAAAGCAAATGGCTTGTCAAAGTTAACCTTACTGCTGCACAACACATCTCTGTGAGTGCAAACACTAGCCAGAATATCCAAGTGACTTTTAAAAGACTTTTATGGATATTCCACTCTCAAAGGATCCTGGATGAGATCAATGGATGCCAATCAAGATCATTATGTATGACCTACCTTGCCCATTTCCTTCCCTTTTTGCCTTTGAGGCTCTTTTACTGCACTGAATGTCTTTCTGGGGAATTTCATTTAATATCCTGGCAGCACACTCAATTCCTCCTGTCAGATCCTTGAGGCAGTCCTATAAATAAAGGGCAGAATGCTTTATTACTAGAGTCAGCAAAAGAATTGTGCACAGTGATGCCCTTACTCATACCACAACGTTATTAAAATGTGCATACTGTTCCTATGGTTCAGAGGCAAAGGGAGGCAAGTAACTGCAATTGCAGCCTAATGGTTTGTTCTCTCTGCTCCTAGGTCTGTGTGCAAGACTGAGTGTTTTGAATTCTGCTCCAGATGAGTTACCATCTCTGCCTCCTTTACTTCTGTTGACACAGCCCCATATCTTTCTGGTCTTACATGAACACATGCTTTATTTGTGTTTAATGCTGACATGTAATTAGTATCAGCTGCAAACCTGGCACTTCAACTGTTGGCAAGCTGCAGCCTGGTAGGAGAGGCAGTGCTGCACTAAGGTTGGAGTTCAGGGCTCCTAAACTACTTTTGCATTTCCAGCTGCCCAGAGCATGCCAGAGACCTGGAAGAAGTCACATAGGGACTCCCATTCCACATCCACTGCAACTTCTACAGCCTGTTGCTTTGATCTGAAGTAAAACAGACAGCAGGTCATTGCTAAATGTACTAATTTAAAACCAGCCTACTTCAAAAAGACTTCAAAGTCCTTGCTAGTATTACAGAACAATCAGTCAGGGATGACTTACCAAAACACATTGCAGCCAGACTCAGGATTTTATCATAAAGCTCATCTGATTTGTGAGTGCTCTTCCCATGGGCTTACGTGGTAAAGAAGAATTTTAGTCTTTTGAAAAAGATATTTCTAACATGAGGAAAGCACTAAAATAGGACCAAACCTACCATTTCATTACTCAGTAATTGTAGTCCAATAAACAATAACATCCAAGACTTATACCAGTTTTGAAGAGGGCCAGGTTGCATCAGGAATTCATTTTCCCATTTAAAATTTTTATATTGTTTATTTAAAAACTTAAAACTTAATATTGTGTAGTAACAAAGTCCAAAAAGCATTAGCAGCATCTCACTCACATGCAGCAGGTTTAAGGCAAATACAGTTACCTTACAATTCCCCCTTCTGAGTACCAGAAGGTATTCATCTTCCCAGAGGGAGAAAAAGTGGAACCAATAGTATCCTCAACACTCTAAGGGGGGACATTATATTAAGAAATTAATTTCAAAATAGTTTATATTTAAGGCTTATAAAACTTCATCAAAACATTATGACTTTACAGTTAACTGCAAAACTGCATATTATTCATTAGCAGTCTCTTCCAGAAGAGAGAGCAGGAAAGGAGGCATGCCCCAACTGAATGGGATTGTAAAGTTATAAACTTGTAAAGTTCTCTCGCTACAGGGGAATGTGCCAATTGTCAAATTTCATTCATTTTCAGTACATACATTTTCACCAAAATGCAGCCTTAGAGTGGGCATAAATTCCACTAGGCTGCCTCCTTATGGGAACAACCAACAAAGAAATAAGCTATCCATATGTACACAAAGATAGGTAGTACACACCACTCCTTCTCTAATGCTCCAGTTTCTGTTGCAAATAAACTACACAGGCCAACTGAGTTACCACTGCTCCCATCCTCTTGACCTCACATCCTCAACAAAATTCTTAATCTGATGCCCTTCAACAGAACTTAATGGATGAAACACGAGATTCAAGAGAGAGTAAGTCCCATATCACTAATTAGAACTTGCAAGGGCTTGTGGAAGGCTTATTTAAATAACTGCTGGGCTCATTTCTTGGCTCTCATTTCTCATTTCTTGTCTGTTCAGCTGCTGTTCACAGTGGCTCAGCCACAGAGCAGTAAGATGTTATACATGTTATTACTATGATACCTGATAGGTGGGGTGGGGGTTGGGAGGGAGATAAATTTTTTTCAAAAAGAACGTTGCAGAAGAGAGACCTTCCAAAAGTCTTACAAATCTTTTAGGGCTATCCTACATTACCAGAGAAGTGCTTCTACTTAGAAGGAAAATGAATGATCTTTCTTCTATTCACACTTGGTGCTTTTCTGGATTTTGGTGCTGCTGCACCTCACAGGCTGAGATGACTCCAACCCACACACCTTTCACCCTAAGAGGCCATGAAAGACACAATATCAGTGTATCAGTTTGATACATCTCATCTACCACCCCGGGATCTTTCCACTGTGGTCTACCTTGGGCAATTAAGCTACCAATAAACTCCTAATATAACTCTAACAATTCAACTTACGTCTCAAATCCAATATTAAACTATACTTCCTTTCTTATCAAAGTGCTTACGTAAGGAAGAAAAAAGGTGTCAAATAGCAAAAATATTACTGGTGTAGGGCTCCAGCTCACGCAGAACAGTGTGACTTCAGTGATCATTATTCAGTGTTTGCTCAATAAAACTCATTCTGTTCAGCTCAGTCATTGACTGTCTGAATATATACGATAGCATTCAAATTCTGGATTTTTAATAGTAGGTTTCCATAAGGATTTCACTTGTAACACAACTTCAGCAAAATACAGCAATAGAGTTCACGTAGACTTCATTTATGCACATGGGCATTTTTTCACACAGACATAAAAGAAAGATCTTTTCACTGGACATCTGTTGATGGTACATGGAAACTTTCATTTATCTTGACAACAGCTTAAAAAACTGTCTAAGGTCTCAAGGAAAAAAAAGGCTGTAAAATAATTTCTTCAGATTTGTCTGAAAAGCCAACAAAATAATATAGATACATCAAAATAGCATACGCATCCAAAAAAAGTTCAAAGGTTAGTTTAGCAACATGCAATATAGATTTTATATATAAAAATATATTTTTTCTTACATGTACACACAATTATATATATATATATATGGTTTTATAGTCAAGAATTAAATCAGCAGTGTGGGGTAGGGTAGGCTGACTTGCATACATACTATGGAAAAAAGAAAACACTTTAAAATCACATACATGTGTTTTTAACCACAAGCATGCAATAACATTCCTCACTGCCTTTGGAACAGGTATCAATGTCAAACTCAGGGTTGGAATGTCATCACTTCTGGCAGGGCACTACTGCCAGGACACTCATGTGTGCAGTGGTCCCACTGACACCATCAGGTGTTGTTTATGCATGATTCAAGTCTAAATGTCACAGCAAAACAGAAGGAGCCAGCAGGAAATATAGCATGGAAAAGTGTAAGAAGAGAAGGATTAGCTACACAGATAGCAATAAAAACAATTTTTCTCCTGCTCTTTCAAGAGGGAGGTGTTGAGGTTTTAGGAGTTCTCCTTTTGTTTGTTGGTTTTTGTTTGTTTTTTTTCTCTTAAGGAATTTTTCCTCATATGTGTTAGCAGAAGACAATAATGACTGGATACAAAGGAGAGACAAAAGATGCAGTCACAGCTCAGGGGAGGGGTGCAGCTGGCTGTTCTCTCTTTACCTGGGCTTTCTCATGGAGAGCAGAGATACCAAGAGATTTTTGGACTGAGGAAATAGGATTTGGAGCAGCCCCCATCTCTCATGTTCTCTCATCATTTGGAGGGAAGACAGGCTGCAGTCGCTGTGAGGAGAATTCGTCACCACTGTGGGGTTCAATCTCCTGCTGCCTTTCTTCTACTGTGAGTACAGCTCTGCTCGTAAGAGCAGCCATTGTACTGGGACCTTAATGCTCTGCCTCACTAAAAAAGGGATTGTCACCATTTGCTCAGGTGCCCCAGGGGAAATCCTGGAATCTCAATCCCACTTTTCCCTTCCCTGCTTGGAGCCAGGCCGCCCATGCCCTTCCCTCAGCACTTCACTGTCACTGCTCTGGGTTTTTGCTACACTCAGCCCCACAGCCCTGCCCGCTGAGATCTCCCGTGGTTCCCCACTACTTCGGAGTTTCATACATCTCATCTCCCACCCCGGGATTTCTGCTCACTCCTGCTGTTCCAGCTTGCTGCTTCTGAGAGTCCTGCTTGAGCACGAGGATCAGCTGTCCCAGGGGTTTGTGAAGCAAAGCCTCTCCTCCATCCCTTCCCATCTCAGCCGAGCTGCCATCACCGCGTGAGGGAGATGAGGCTGGGCCCGCCGCAGCGCCCCCTGCTGGCGCGGGGCAATGCCCGCCCCGCCTGCCCGCCAGCAGCCAGCAGCGCCCCTGCTGGCCGCGCCCAGAACTGCAGCCAGGGGAAGGGGCCCTGCTCTGCAGCCGGGACACGGCTGGGGCTGGCTTTGTGCTGCTGCTCTTTGCTTGTTTGCTTGCTTGTTATACACATACATACCAGTAAGGAACTGTTAGGGTTTTCCTATATCTTTTTTTTCCTATATCTTTACCTGAAAGCCCCTTAACTTTGGCATTAAAATACTCTTGCGGCGAACCACCCATGTGTGAGGACACGAGGCTTGACTCCATTTTACTGAGAAGGTTGATTTATTATGTTATATATTATATTAAAATACTACTATTATATTAGTAATATACTAATATATTATATATATACACTATAATATATTACTATATATTATTAATTACTATTAAACCACTACTATTATATTAAACTACTACTATTATATTAAAATTACTAAATTTAAACTATAATAGTTTTATTAAAACTATTATATTAAAACTACTACTATTATATTAAAACTATACTAAAAGAGCAGAGAGAGAAGACAGATCAGAAGGCTACAAAGACCAAGAATAGAATAGAATAGAATAGAATGCATAACAAAATCTTGTGACTGCTCACAGCCTTGGCACAGGTGGCTGTGATTGGTCATCAATTGAAAACAATCCACATGGACCAATGGAAGATGCACCTGTTGCATTCCACAGCAGCAGAGAGTTATTGTTTACATTTCTTTCCTGAGGCTCTCAGCTCTCAGGAGGGGAAAAATCCTAGCAGAGGATTTTTCATAAAATATCATAGCTACATTCACCTAGTATTATAATTAGCTGAATATCCAGTACGGCTGCGCAATTGCCCTCTATAACTGGGTTGGTGAGCTCTGGAGAGGAAGTAAGACATCTTCCTCATGGTAAACTCTTCACCTGTGTCAAGTTGGCAGGACTCCTTGACTTGCTGGTGACAATCCAAACCTCCTCTCATTCTTAGAACCCAGTGATATTTATGGTTCCTGCACTCTTGCAATACTTCATCTATCACCTGTCATTCCCAACCTTGTTTTAGTTATCCCCACCTGGTATCACAGTATATATTCTTTGCTGACTACATTTCTAACTTAACCCCTTAATTCATTTAAGCTCTTAATTAAAATATATATTTTTTTCACTATCTTAGTTGCATTCCTTGCTCAACCCTTTGACTCTGTTACACACAGATATTCAAGTAAAAGAACTGTTATTTGCTTTCCCATGTCTTTGTCTAAAACCCTCTAATTTCAAAGTTATAATAAGTTGGAGGGAAGGGAGGTTCCAGCCTTCCTTGGCAGGCACCTGTCTTTTAAACCAACACAGGACTCAGATAGTAATGGACTATACAGGCACTCTCAAAAGACTAATCATATCCCAATTTATTAGGAAATTCAATAATTGCTGCATTTGAATGAACTATAAATCCTCATTTCCCTAGGAATCTAATAGCAGTCTTTTTTGCAAATATAAGCCCTTAACTTATCCATTCAACCTCCTTTTACAAATAAAGCAAGTCAGAAGATAAACCATCAAAATGAAAGGCAAAGACCTGAGGAGTAAAAGGAGCAAGGACCCGGCTGTAAATTATCCCTCATGTTACACATAGAACCTTACAATACTCAAGGTTACAGGGGAATTGCAGGGGAATTAATTGAAGAAGGTTATTTTGGAGGGAAAAAAAGTGTTGTCTGCGTTTTTTCTACTTTAAAATAACCCTTAAGACACATATGTGAAATTCAAGCAAATTGTTCACAGAAAATGTATTTTAAGACCTAATATAAGGCCTTAGCTTCCCATTGCACAGCTTCAGATAAATACATTCATCACATGTTCCAGACATACCCTTACAAATAAATCTAAGAGATCTTGACATTTACGCTGCATAGGGAACTGTCTAGATCTGCTTGATTCAAAATTCTCCACCTATTTCATCCTTGGTATGCAGAACACTCCTGTTTAGCAGCCCTGATTACTTTCTTCATAAATGTGAAATCGAACTGCAGAGAACAAAAGGATCAGCTCTCCAAAGAGACTTGTTTCTTGCACTGAAGAGCACCACAGATCCCTAAGCCATTCTCACCTGTGTCATCCATCATAGTTAAAGAGGATTTTAAGCTCATCAAATGCCTCAGAGAGGAAGTCAGCATATACCAGTGGTGTTCACACAATGCTCAGACTGAGCTAAATGTCGTCTAAATTACCTTTTTCAGAAGAAGGTGCATCTTAGTTTTGCTGCAGGAGTGCATTTTCCTCTTTTAGAGTTCAAGCACCTGACATCTTTGTGAGTTGTCCACTTGAAAAATCTTTCTACTGACAACCAGTCAGCTATCATTCTTCTGTCTGAAACATAGCTGACATAAAATGAAGTGACTTTTCTCTCTTACCCAATGCCCCCGTGATCACAGATGTGTCCAAGATGAAGGAAGTCCAATTTCAGTTTCCTCTTGTGCTTGAAGGAGGGTCAAATTTGCACCTTTTACTATTCTACCAGCCAGGAAACCTCAGAGCCTGGGAAATCACAGTCAGTCCTGGGCAGAGAATAATGTAAACTGAAGTGGGAGACAGGCAGGTGGGGGAAATAAATTCTCAGTAGAAGCTGCAAAACTAGCCCACTTCTATAAATCTGCACCCACATTACTTCCTGAGAGAAAAAATGTTTTTTTTCAATTTCCAGCAGCTTTTGGCACCAGTGAGTTTTAGATGACTGGCTATTATTTGCTGTTCAGTAAGACTACAACAAATTTTGAACAATAATATCAGGCATGAGAATTCAACTGGTGTTCAAACAGCTGAATTAGGAATGATGTCTTGTGGGTAAAGCATGGCCTGCAAACTTAAGTCTTTCCTAATCTGTCTTACACTGTTTTAAAACTCAAGGAGGCCATCAGTTCCTTCTTCTCAGGCCATTTCTCCAGATGATAAATGGAGATATGCTATATTATAGCATGTTTTGAGAACTACATAATAGAAAGATTACATTACTACAAAAATCAACACCTCACAGCAGCTGACACTCCATCAAAGCATTGGTAAAGAACCACTGCACTTCAATTTAAAATAAAACAAAACCAGGTGATTTGCAAAGAGAGTAACCACCAGCTTGGCATCTTGTTTTCTCAGTCACAGCTTTATAACAATCACAAAATCTGTTGGTCCAACTTGTCTGTTTTCCAGTTTTCAGAATGAGAACAGACTCCAGCATTTGCTCTGGGGCATGCCACCCAAGAACTGATGCTGCCTGCCCAGGTCCACAGCAGTACGCTACAAAGTCTGAAGTAACCCTGAACCCTTAAACACTTTTTATTTTTCCCGTTGTCAAAATACAAAAACCAAATGTTCTTTACTTTACAGAAGAAAGTGGTTCCCAGATGGGAAAAACACAATCCAAAATGTTCTTGTTTCATAATTAGAAGGTAATATCTTAGAGAAATGTGTTACAAGGGTACCTGTCATGACATGATGCAGCTCCCTCATGGACATTATCTACATCATCTAATGAGAAGGGACAGCCAGGATGGGAGGTCAGGATGCTGGCAGCTGACATGTTTGACAGACAACTGCATTCATAGGGCACTGTGCAAGTTAACAGGAGAAAGACTGAAGGCAAGTTTTATTCTGACAGTACTCAACCATTTTAAACTATAATTATTTTGTAGTATTTGTATGATCCAACAGGAAATAAACAAAATATAATCTAGAAACAACTTTGAGATTATAGCACCCATAACACTAAGTGCATAATTGAATGGAAAGACTAATTTGTTTATTACAACAGTATTTCTTTATTTGTACCATAAATTAAGTATATTTTTTGGCAGTTCTCCCTTGCTAGGAACAATTTTTTTATTGATGAACCTGCTAATTTTAAGGGCTGAGCCTTTAGAGCCCATTAGACGAACATCATCAACACATTTTGTTTTTTAAGGCAAGGGAAAGAAACATTTAGCAAGCTGCCATTCTCATTTTTCAAAGTAAATCTTTTTCTCTCTCCCACAGTTATACACCAGTACATAAAATTGATTTCAGAAGTTACTTCTGATTTACATGGCTGTGGAAGCAGCCACAAACCCTCAGCATACGTAAAGACATTTCTGCAGTATCTCCTCGTGCTGCTGAGTCTGCACACATCTAACCTGGGACAGCAGAGGAATTTCAAGTGCCATTATGCTGCAAAGGGAAAATGTGCCTTGCTTCCCAGGCTACAGACTGCTATTCATATTGCCAAAGTGCCCTGAGAACAAGACTCAGGTTGGTGTATATATCCCTAGACAGAATATTTCTTGAATATTTACCATCTAAACAGATATCAGCAAAACTAGAGCTAAGGAGCTGAGAGAAACCTCCAGCAGGGCTTCCTCAAGGTCTCCAGTGCACCTGTGACAAATATAAGTGCAGCTCAGGGATATACAGTTCTATATTTCCTCTCCACTTGGACAGTGTTTTTTGATACAACTTGGTATCCTTCTGAAATATAACACAGATATAACAGAATTTTTTCTTTTTTTTACATATTTGTGGGGAAATGGCTTTAATGAAAAAAAAATCTTTACCTTTGGAAGTGTATATCAATACTTGCATGTATTTTAGCTATCTCCTTTTAATAACAAATGGGGAAGGGTAGTGGAAATAAAATTCTTGTCATTTGAAGGCCTGGGTCAAAAAAAGGTGGACTTCTCTATTGTAATTTCACAATCTTTGTGTATGTAGGCAGATTTCCTGAAAATATGAAGTATTTCTCTGCAAGTCCTTGGGTCAAAAAGGTTCAATGAGGCATTGAAATTTATCAGGTACTTTTAAAAAGCAATTTCCTAGGTATTTATGGAGCTCCTGCCTAAAAACACACACATTCCTGTTAGTTCAACACTCTGTAAAA